AGATGGGTCCATCTGCATCTGCCAAACAGACAGAGCAGAAAAAGAAGAAAAAATAAAAAAAAGACCTATCATAAACCATTTTTCTTCTTCTTCGAGCACATCTCTTCATCATCCAATCATGCCCGCTTCTTATAAACAACATGCCAATCGTCGTCTCATCAACACATCTTGCATCCGCTCTCACCCTTCGACTATCATCAGTTCTATATACCGTTTTCTTTCTGCTTGAGAAAAGAAAAACATATCCGTTTTTTTTTTCTTTTCTCGCGCTCTCGTCAACAGTTGGTTAATGGATCGTAGCGTTTGAAGTCAACCAACCAATCACGTCATGAATATAATATACGCGATGGCAAGAGAGAAAGAAAAAGAAATGAAGATGAGTTCTTTCTCTTTATAGTTAAGAAGAACTGCTTTTCTTCTTCTTGTTTCGAATAAACACAAGCAGAGGTCGAACAAATCTAAACACACTTATCCTGCCAGTGTATATGTATTTGCCGTTTGTCGAATTTGTAAACGACTCATTACTTATGTCTCGAATCTGTCAGGCTTAGTTTCTTTCTGATATTACTGTCTCATCATCAATTGCATAAACATTTTGTTTCAAAAATATACATATAGATTTATATATTGTCTTCTGTACTTTTCTCTTTCGTCATCATCATCATTATCATTATTATCACCATTATTATTATTATTATTTCTAGTAGTTGTAGTGTTAGTTGTAGTTGTTGTTGTTGATATTGTATATAACAAACGACTAAGATAAAACAAATTTGTATATACTTCTTTATGTTTATTAAAACTCTTATTGTAGAATAAACAACACGACAATAATTAAGATATACTTTAAGGTAGGTGATATTTTGTTATTGTTTTGTTTACTAGAAATAAGATATACTTAGAGATTTATTAATTTTTCTTCTAATTGATTATGTCAAATGAAAATTCTAACTATAAACATATAACAAATAAATGATGTAGATTTTAAAAGAATAACAAAAAACAATACAAAGATTGTTTTCATTATTTTTGTTTTATCTCTTATAGAATTTATTATAGTGTATGGTGATTATTGAGCAATCATCTTCAACAATTGACACTTGTCAAATGAATATTAAAATTGATACAGATAAACCAGTTACATTGTCGATTAATACGACTAATGAACATCATCATTTACATACAACATCAACACCAACATCTATTTATCATCCTCGAAATCCTTCAACAACTGGTCTAATGAATGTTAATAATACAAATCCAGGTCATTTTCATCATCATCATACACATTTATATAATACTACAAGTGGTTATAACTATACATCGACACCACCACAAGCACCACCATCATCAACTAATTATTATTCAATGCCACCAAATAATCTTTATAATGATCCATATTCTCAATGTTCAAACTATTGGAAAGCAAGAGCAGCAGCAGCAGCTGCTGCATCATCATCTGATCTTTCAAAAACCAACAATAATCATTCAAATCGCCTTTCATATCCTATTGATCATTCTCATACAACAAATATGCATTATATACCATCATCAATAGATTTATCATCTCAAATTGATATTAAATCTGAACATTCATCACCAATTAAAAATAATACTCAATTAACAATGTCAGGTGAAGATGATTCAAATGAAAGTCATCCAACAGGTACTGAAGATGGTAATGAAGATGATGATGATGATATGGATTTAAAAATACAAGACAAAGAAGAATCCAATAGTACATCAACAAATGCACCAAGAAAATCTAATCGTCGAGCTGAAAAACCACCATGCAAGTGTCATCTCTCTTTTGTTTTTTTTTGTTTCTATTATAATTAGATTGTTAATATGATATGTCATTTTTAGATTCGTATATTGCTTTGATTGTCATGGCTATAAATAGTACACCAACAAAAAAAATGACACTTTCTGAAATCTATGCATTTTTACAACAAAGTTTTCCATTTTTTCGTTCAACTTATATGGGATGGAAAAATTCTGTTCGACATAATTTAAGTCTTAATGAATGTTTTATTAAATTACCAAAAGCAATGGGTAACTATATAACAAAACAAAACAAAATGAAATAAAAATAAATTTTTTTTTCTATTAGGTCGAGCTGGTAAAGGACATTATTGGACCATTGCACCGGATTCAGATTGTATGTTTGATGATAACTGTATGCGTCGAAGACCTAGAGGTAATAATTATTAATTGAAAAAATTTTTATGTATATGTATGTATTTATTTATGTTTTCTCTTTTATTATATAGGATTTCGAAGAAAATTAGGAAAACAACCAGGATATCCTAATCTTTTAAGTCAATTAGATTCAACAGTTACAACAAATGCTAATGGTATTGCAACATCATCATCAACAACAATGGATCCAAGTACAGCTAATTCGTACAATCCAAATCCATCATCATCATCTCCTTCAACTTCAAGTGCTGGTATTGGAGCTACAAATTATTTTGATCTTAGTAATTATGCTGCATCATCATCAACAACAGCAGCAGCAGCCGCAGCAGTCAGTGGACATCATTCGTCAGATCTCTATGCAGCTGCAGCTCTCATGGCCTCATATTCTTCTAGTTATCCTCATCGTTCTCATTTTACAACAAATAATTCATCTTGTTCGTCGTCATCATCATCAACAACAAATACAAATGCTTTAACAACAAATGCAAGAATTACAGATGAGAGTGATTCAGGAACACATGTACATTTTACAAATAGTGTACATTATGCATCAGGTCCATCTCAATCAACTTATTTTTCTTATGGAAATCCACCAACTCATTCATCAACAAGTTCATCATTTGATCCACATAATCATTTTTATGCAAATCCATTTGCTGGATTTCTTGATCAAAAACATTCACTTTTGCCGGCAACATTATCTTGCTATGATCATCATCCATCGTCATCAAACTATTAATTTTTCTTTGTCTGTTTTTTTTTGTCTTTTTATTCATTTGCGTGTGTAATTCTTTTTTCTATCTTCTCTCTTCTTCGTCTTTTTTTTTTTTGTTCTTTTAATGATCTCAAAGATCATTGGTGTTTGTTTTGTTTCCGGCAGGTGAATACTTTCACTGAAATATGATGATGTGCAATTGACTTATATCATTTTTATGAATAAGAGGAAAAGAGAATGAGAAATATTATATAGACATGTATAACAATTGTATGCTTTGTTGGTTGAATGCATCAATTGAAGAAATGGTTGGTTAGTTGCTTCCTTTCCTTATATTTCTCCTACTGTGAAATCTCGCCAATAGATCGACACCGTTAGATTGTTTGTCTCATCAGGAGACAGAAAAATGATGATATCAATCCATCAAAATTGATCGATAGACATCTGTTCCTAACAAAATACTTTGCATTTGTTATCCTAGTAGTACATGAAGAATAATGAAGATCTATGAGTATTCCTCAAATATAAATGATGTTATTGATGCTTAGACAAAATTTATACAACTATGTTAAAGGTTTAGATTTTTCTTTTGTTGTTTATATATCAAAAATATTCGTCCAATAGGGTGAATTTGTATCAATATTTTATCTAACATTAGGCCAGCACTCCTTCGAGGATCGGGTTGACTCTCACGAAACTTGTGGTTATGTTATTATGTACTATGCATCTATGTTTCCAAAAATAGATCTTTGCCCTTCCGGAAAAGAAAATCTGGATAAAACACTGATGTGTATGTTTGCAAGAATACTTCTCCAAAAACAAATTACCCTATTTGGACAAGTTATTATATTGAATTTTCTACCGTTAGGGTATCATACATCTTTTAATTAAAATATTACTCTAGTTTTGTCATAACAATATCTATTTTCGTTATTTTTTATGAAGATATGGACAAAGTAGTTCCGCTCCTCTCTAGCTGTAACAATTTTCGTAAACTACAGAATTGATGAATACATAAACATGCAGAATAAATGAAATCTTAGCTCAGTAAAAAAAAAAAAAAAAAGGTAATGAACATCGAAGAGGAGAATATTAGAGGTCATGCTAGTCGTGTAAGATGTTTTGAGCTTATTGACACTACTAGAAAGTTATATCGTGTTTTTCTCTAGTATATATGTTACTAGGTGGAGAAATACAAGCAAAATTTTTTTCTCACCGGTCAGTATTATCCGATAGTGTTTCTAGTTGATATCAATTTAATTTCAGTTTAACTTGCTCAGTTTCTTTTCATTAATATTTTTCTTTCTCAATATGAATTATTTTGAGGAAAGATTCTATGAGAACAATTTCACGTAACTATACGAGGTTTTTGTATAGATGATTTTCGTTTAATCTTTATAACAACTAAAGAATGCATTGAAATAGTTTGTTTTAAAATGTTTACAAACTTCAATTTTCTGCTAATTGAATTACTATTTTAAGAACAAGATTGTATTGGTGATGCTCTTCTTGTTTTTTTTAAAAAGATCTATATGTTGAATTAAAAAAGACTGATTGACAAAAATAAAGGCGACGAGAAAGTTTTGTCTATACGAAGGCTTATAGATAAAGATGTTCTCTACCTAATGGTGTATATATTATCAACTTCCACTGCGTACTCTTGATATGTTGATAGGTGACTCCATCGTCATCATATTTTACCAATCCAGGACGAAGGTGGAGCTATCTATCAATATGTCAACAGTACGCAGTGAAACTTGATAATGTATATGTCATTAGATAGAGAAAGTCTTTTTCTAGAAAGCTACATATATACTTTTCTGTAGTCAACACTCATCGAAAAACTAATAGTTGTTTTTTGATATTGTATATATTATCAATTAATAAGTCAAAATGAATTGAACAAAAAAAAAACATTTATAAATGAAATGTATTTTTTGTTGAAAATAATGATAACATTGATAATAGTATTTTTGTTATTTTCAATTGTATTTAATATTCTTGTAGATTTCCATTGCACCCTCAATGAATTCTAGAAAATTATTTATTTATAATCATTATTTATAGGATAGAAAAAAAAACATTACATACGTTCATAAGTAACTTTGCAATTTTCATCTTGTTGAAATTTCTTATTAAATATTTCAATTTGATCTTGATTTAATTCTTTGCCTTTTTCTTTCATAACCTGTTCAAATTCTTGTTTATCCACACAACCATCGCCACTTAAATCTTTAATTTGTTATTAAAAAGAAAAAAAAAACCATAATTAAAAAAAATATTTGCTCTGGTTTTTTTCTGTTTTACCAAATGTATTAAATAAATCACGTAATCCAAGAGTACTTGTTGGAACATACTCATTCATCATTACTGTAAATTCTTCTAGAGTAATATCACCACTAGCTATGTATAAGAATTTTAATTAATTAAATAAAAGATAAAGAAAACATTTACTATCAGTATCAACTATTTTCATGAATGCACAAAGTTGTTCTTCTGTCTATGAATAACCTGAGACTGTTTCAACTAGTCGTTTAACTTCATCTTGTGAAATACGACCATCATGATTGGTATCAAATAAAGAAAATAGTAATTTTAATTCTCAAAAAGTAAAAAAAGTATAAGTTTAATTTCTGGAATTAAGAAAAAGAAAATAGTTTACCTAGAGCATCATGTGCAGCCATCTTGATGGAAATAGACTATAGAGTTTAAAAACAAATGCATAAGTGTTAACTATTGTGTTGGTTCTTATCTTGACTAACCAATTATATTGTTCTTTGTTTTGAGCAAACATTGAAAGATATGAATATTATAGCCAGTAAGAGACATTTTTTAAGCGAATAATTATTTCACTTTGGAGATCTATTCTTTATTTGTATTTGATAATATTATTTGACACATGGATTATAACGAATTTCAAAGTTCAATTCAACATTTATTTTATATTTATCTTAGTATTTAAGTACAAAAAAATTTATGTTTAAAAAAAGCACTTATTCGAACAGAATTTAAACTTGAAACCTTGTATTCTATGTTAGTAAATTTATGAATGATAACATGGGACCGTCTCATTTCAGGTAGTTTGCTTATTTTTCATTATATGCGCCTTGAAACGAAAATGAACAATAATTAATTTTTCAAACGCATTTTTTCACTTTTTTGTCAATAGGCGCGCTATGATGAGAAAATAGAGCAATTTATTTTCTCGTAAGCAATGGATATTTTTTAATATGAATTTTATAATGCTTAAAAACTTTTTCTGTAATTTGCTCAATAGAGAACGTCTTATTCATATTTGTTACGAAGAATCTTATTGCAGATATTTTGTTTACTCTTTTTTTTATTGTTGTGGTCATTAAAAAAGATAAAAATAGTCATTTTTTCTATTAAATTCATTATGAATCGATAGATTTTACAAAATTATTTTAAAGTAAAACTTACTAATCCATCGGTTGTTAATGTCAAGAATAGTAAGGAACATTAGATTTAAATGAACTTTCGTTTATATCTCATTTTAAGCACAATAAGTGAGCATTAAAAAGCTATTATTTGATTCAAACTTGTTGAATGTTCATAAGATCACTTTCTAAAAGCTGATCGAATTTTCAATGAAAAATGAAAAGATGAAATGCTAACAAATATAACTATAAGATCCCTGTTGAAACATGTCAACATACTTCCAAAATGCCGCTGTTTTTCGTTTCACTTTCTCTACGAACACATCTAAAACTCAGTACTTTTTGTTGAAAAGATTTCAAAAAAGGAAAGCAAAGTAATATTTGTTCGAAAGTAAAACTGAAATTTCAAAACCAAACAACAGAAATCTCTTCTAAGATCCTTTAGACAATGCTTCTTTGCTTACAGGTAGCTCCTTAAAACCAATCTTTTGAGGGAAATTTTGTTTCCCATATTCAACATATTTAAAACAAAAACAGAATAAAAAAATAGCTGTCGCTTTGATTGAATAGCTGAGATGGTGCATTACAGGTATGAATACAGTTGATAATCGATATTGAATAACATAGACAATTACATTATCAATCAGTAGTATTTTTGAAAAAGCATGTTGATGTTCATTGATAAAGTGTTCTAAGTAATGAGTATTGGAACGCCTATTTCTCAATTCGATCAATTGATTGAAGCGTAACTTTTCTAACGAGATTCGTAGAAACACAGATCGTAATAAACTGTAATTATATTCAAGGATAAACGTATCGCAGTCAATTTTAGAAGTAAGGATCCGGTTTTTTACGAATCATTGATATCTCGATAATAGATATTCAAAGCGTGTTCGTATCGAATGTCTCAGCTTCAAGGAGATTCTTAAGTTATATAATTTCCTAAACAGTTTGATCTCTAGATCATTTGGTTTATATAGTTTGATAGTTTTGAATAAGTCATGTTCATAAAAAATTGTCGTGTTTTACCTTATATTCGCAAGGTTTGATGAAATCAGCATAACACATATAGCCCCCACAATGTGATGAAGTTATACATATATTAGATATATTCAGGAAGATTGATATTTATATTCAAAAAATATTTTTGACAAGATTAGTTTTGATAGAACGCTGGTACGGAATTTTTTTCCTTTTTTTCCTCCTGCTCTTATAGATAATATCTCTACATCAAAATGAAAATAATCAAATTATGGTATTGTATTTCATATATGGTCATTGTCATACATTTTTTATCTCTATGAAAAGCAAGTATTTTTTTTTTTGTTTGATATTAATTTTATTTCAAAACTTTAAAGTACAATTTCTTTTATTATTATTTTAAAACTATAATGAAATTGTCTTTGTAATTGATCATGATATGTTCAATTTTAATTGAGACTGTTGCAATATTCATTGACACTTTCAACAAATTCTAAAAATCATTACATAATATTGATAAATATTATTATTAAAATAGAAAAATAAATACATACGTTCATAGGTAATTTTACTAACTGCATCATGTTCAAATTTTTTATCGAATATATTAATTAAATTTTGATTTAAATTTTGATTAGTTTTCTTTACTTGTTCAAATTCATCTTTTTCAATAAAACCATCACCACTTTTATCTTTATATAAAAAAAAATTAATTTAAAAAAGTGTTACTATGTTTTTTTCTCTCTTACCAATTGTTCGAAATATACTTTTCAAACCATATGCACCTTGTGGAACGTTATTATTTATAAAGGTTATAAATTCATCCATGGAAATATCACCACTATCTATAAAAATCAAATTGAGGTTGTAATAAATGAAATATCCGAGAAATACTATTTACTATCAGTATCAGCAAGTCTTAAATATTCAGTAACTTGTTCTTCTGAAACTGCAGGACCATCCGGATCAGGTGATTGAAGTAATTGTTTAAGTTCTTCTTTTGTTAATGTTCCACTATTATCAACATCGAATACAGTAAAAAGTAATTTTAATTCTATAAAAAAAAAATCAAAAAATTAAGAAAACAAGTATATGAAGACATCATATACCTTGACTATTTTGTGTCGCCATTGAGAAAATAATGTGATATTGATTCAAACACACCTGTGGTTATATGTAATACTTTATATCTTATCTTATCAAAACCTTTGACGCAAATTCTTGAAAGCAAACGGAATATTAATATTGGTATTTATCTCGAACAGTTACGTCAATAACAGATTGAAGAGTTTTTTAGATAAAAAAGACAAAGGTTCCTAAAAAAGAAGCCTTGATCCTAATGCATTTGTTCCTTTAAACAATGAATTATTACTATGAGTACATATTGATAATTTCTCTTCTGAATAGACAAATAAATGTTATTATTTCATATGTTTTTTATCCATGTAAAGCTTTATTAAAAAACGATGTCAATCAAAGTATTATATAAATGTATTGTCCTAAAATATGGAACAAAAGATGATTGATAAGTTAAACAAATGTATAGGTTAAATCGAATTTCTGAGATTAAGTTTAGTTCATTGGTTGCAATGCTTAATCATTTCTCTTGAAATGATTTTTTTATTAATTGAACACCATATTTGAATGTTTGTCAGAGATAATTATACACTATATAGCGCAGTAACGGATATAGGAGAGGAAATAGAGACTTTTGCTGCTTCTTCTTTTAAAATCTATGCATACTTTATTTAAGCATCTTCGTATTTCAATAAGATTGCATTTCTCACTATTTTTAAGTTCACTGTACTTGTACTCTGAAATAAACAATTCCAATAAAGAGCAACAAGTTATATATGTATGTACTGCGTAGTGTTATTAATTTTATCAGATGCTCTTTCTCTTGTTGGATATGAATTCTATCCCTGTGACAAAATTGATGAATATTTATCGAGTTTAATATTAAAATAATCAATAGTCATGTTCACGGTTCATTTATAATTTGTTTTTTGTTATTGATGATGAATAAATATGAGATTTACGAAGTAGTTCATGTTCGATTCACCGATATCTTCTTTCTGAACATCAAAGTTCTTTTTCAAATTTATGTAACATTATTCATCACAATGATTGCAGGTGAGCTGAGCTTTTTCGATATTAAAGGTGATAAAACCATATCTTCAAAGTAGGAGAGGTGAAAAATCATCTGCATGACCTAGCTATGACGCATGTGCGTTCCATGATTTTCATGGGTATCGAACAAGTTATCAACAGCTTTTCAAAAAATCAAACAATAGAAAAATAGAATTTCTTTCTTGGTCGGTCTTTTATTTGTTTTTGTTTCCATAGATCATAGCACTCATTTGAACAGTTTTCTCATGTCTACTTCTGATATAATGCTATAATATGACTAACAGCTCATAGAATTGGATTTATGACAAGTTTGGAAGATAAGGTGTAATATAAACTTTTCAAATTTATATATTTGATATGTATGACAATGAATTTAAACAGAAATTTCGATTTCTTCATAATTTTTTGCATTTTTAATATAGTGCATAAGTTCAATAGATGTCAAGTTCGAAACCAGTAATTTGAAAATGAATATCTGCTTCTTTTAAAAAAGTGCACGAATAAGAACAATTAATTGAATGTCTATTAGCAAATTTTTAAATAAAAAAAATGTAAGAAATACGTCATAGTGATATAAAAAAAGATAAGAGAAATTTCATAGACTCATAAAATGAATCATTACTTCTATTTGTTAGTGGCCGCCATCTTTCAAAATCAAGTTTAATGTCCACAGCAATTTCGAGACTAAAGAACTAAAGAATTACTTGCTTTATTCTATATATGCGGACATGAACTATTGTTATTTTCATCATTGATGTATGTTCATTAATATACTCATAATCTATTATATACAAACATCAGCAGTCAATCTCATGATTTGTTTTACCATAAAGAGTCATCGATCAAGGACATTTAGATAAAAACTGAATTTTCGATTCCTTCTCGTTCAGTTTCCAAAGTTATTTCCGAAAAAGTCTGTTTCAACATATATGCATCAATTTTTCTCATGCGAAACGACTGATATATACAACTTTTTCTTAGATGATTCGTCATTGAGTTCTAAGCAATAACTGTTTTCAAAATATTGATTGAAAGTGTTTTAGTTTGAAATTTTTTTTGCGAAAACTTCTCAAAGAAAATAACCACAAAAAAAAATCAAAGTAAGTATCCAGACGCCTAGATACGTCTCATATACCTCTATCTCTTTTCCTAGCTATCATCGACGATTAATATCGTGAAAGATAACAATAGTTAATGAATTCATTTTATTTTAACACAGATATACGTATTCTTTTTTATATTAGAAAGTATATGGAATTCTTGTTACTAAAAAACTTTTCAAAGTGTATTAATTATCAAAATAATTCACGGAATAATATGTAATTAAAATTTCAAATCTACTCTAATAATGTTTAAAGTCGAAGTGAAAAGTCTCTATATATGAAATTTATCAATACATTATGTTAACTTCTTTTGTAATTTATGTAGGAAGATTGACTCATAATCTTATGGTTTTGTTTATTATTATGTTAATGAATATAACTCCATTCACATATGTTCAATATGTGATTATTTAAACAATACATAATCGACATATTGCTTATGTCTTCTGCCACAAGAAGCAATCTTCAAAGTTTATTACTAGATCAAGACCAATAGCGTGATCGTAAATCTGCTTTCATCTCTTTAACACTGTCTTTATGATACTTAATGACTTTAATTAAAAGAATTCAAGCCCAACTAACCAACAATTACTGAATGAAACGTAGTGGCTAATCTTCTTTGTTATTTGTCATCAATCAAAATGGACTTGCCATTTGTCATCTGTAATTTGCTGTTGTTGTTATTTCCTTTGTAACAAAAAATTTTCAATTTAAATGTTTAAATTCCAGATTAAAATATTTGACAAAAACACAAACTTATTTATTACTTCTCAATCAGAGTACGAGTTGAACTAGTTGCTAACATTAGACAGCACTTTCATCTTCTCAGATCAATTCCCAGTTCGTAATCTACTGTTAGATGATGCAATTACTCAAGCTTTCACATATCGTGCCTTTCAGAAAAATTAAATTCAACTCCTTGACTCCGATCGAATTTCTTAAAACGATGTTGAATCTATATTTAGACATTATATATTCCTTCTACTTTGCTTTCATGTCATACAATTAGCTGAAAATTAATAATATAAATGTACTTTATTGTAACGTATTATTACATTCAGTTGTTTAATAATAAAGTTTAAATGAATACAGAAAAAGAACCAATAATTTATGGTGAAGTTTGATTGACATCATGCCGTAATCTTAACCAACTTAAGAAATAAAATAGAATAAAATAATTTATTGCTCGTTCAACTAGTCCTCTAATATAATCTAAAATTAAAACAATAAATAAAGTTGTATAACAAATATTCTTATTGTAAACAATCGTATAGAAACTTGAATATTTTACCTACATTAATGGAAAATAATTCCATGTCATCATAAAAAAATTATTAAAAAAATATTTTGCATGTTAACGAGTAATCATAAAAATTAACACTAGATCATTTAATACTAGTGCATATTATCGCGTAGTCCAGGGATCTGACAAGATATTTTCGTTTTAAGAAGTAAAAAAAAAAGGTTTTGCTGTCGAAATGTTCATTATTGAGCAAAGGCAAACAAAATAAATTCCATTCAAAACTTTATTTCTTTCCTACATTAATAATCCGTGTATAATAACATGCAACAATTAATAGATAAGATGTCGCTAGCTTACATTATATATATTTATATAAATGACAATAAATTATTCTATTGGCTAAAATACGTCTCAGTATATTTGTGTTATAAACACACGAGATTTGAAAAATTTTCTTTGTCTTACTGGTAATCATTATTTCCAAACGATTGAAAAAGAGAATTGTTTTGTTTTTCTTATAATTTGGCATTATCATTAAAAAATGCCATTATCAATTGAATCTGAAATTGATCTTCTGTATCATCTATCAACAATGTCTGAACATGTTTTACCGAAAGGACTCTTTTATCTTCTATTATGGAAACGTCTTAATCAATCTAGCATTCCACCTGCTTTTTCATTCAATGAAATGGTTGAACATCTTCGTACATTGTAAACACATTTTTCAAAGAAATTTTTCATTTTATTTATTTATTTATTTAATAAAAATAGATATGATGAAAGTGTTTTTGATAATCCAGAATTACCTGAATCAAATGATCATGATTTTCAATGGAATCCAATTAATATTGATCAACAACAATCTGAAAAAGATTTATCAAATAAACTTGAAACAACACCACCACCAACAACAATAACAACAACAACACCTCAATCTTCGACTAAAACACGAAAACGTCCAACATCTCCATCATCAATTACAACTAATAATGATATTAATCGTCGTAGTAGTCGTCAAAAAAATAATATACAAACAAAAGATGAAGAACAACAGCAACAAATAAAAGTTGAAAAACGAAAATCTATTAAGGATTCATCTCGAATATCAACACGATCAATACCCAATAATGATTCCATTGGTACACGTTTACGAGGACAAAAATAGAATTATTCCAATTTTTGTATATATATATTATTTTTTTTTTTTTATCTGATATAAAAAAAAAAAAAAAGAAAAGAATCCAGAAATAAAACAAAAAAAAAATACGAAATCAATTATATAGATATAGGAAATGATCTGTTATTCTAATGAATTTATATTGTAGAAATAAATCTATACATATAAATTATGTCTCGTACGACAAATCAAACCGATCTACCAATACCACCAACACAACTTGATCATGATGAAAAACGTGTATTAGCTGAATGTGAACGAGAATCACTTATCTATCGTAGTATACCATTAGGTCTTATATCATTTTTTGCAACACAATATGCTATGACAAAAAATTTAATAACACCACAAGGTAAATGGATTAAACTTGGTGCAAGTTTATTTCTTGGTTATATTATTGGCAAAGTATCATATGCACCAACATGTCGAAATAAAATCCTTACACAAATTCCAAATAGTAATTTAGCATATGCTATTC